GAAGTTTTTGTATGTTGGTTCTTGTTAATAACTTTTCATTAAATATACCTTTCTAAAAGCTAATAGATGTCAACTGGTTGTTGGTGATATTGAAGAGCTATTAACTGGTTAAACTGATAGTGGGCCACTAATCAATGGTATTGATATTATTTTAAGTTCAGTTGTTTTTCAGTTGTGTCCGACTCTTTGTGACACCATTTGGGGTTTTCTTGGCAAAGATACTGGACTGGTTTGTCATTTCCTTCTCCAACTCATTTTACTGATGAAGAAACTGAGGCCAACAGGATTAAACGACTTGCCCAGGGTCACACAGCTAGTCAGTACCTGAGGCCAGATTTGAATTCAGGAAGATGAGTCTTCCTGACTCCAGGCCTGGCACAGAGTAAAATTATATTGAGAAGAACACGCTGGGATGGTGACTTGAGCCAACAGCATCAGAAAGAGCCCATGACCCCTTGGGGGTACCCCTAGAACCAAGAGGAGATGTAACCCAACACACTTGGGGAGCCAACTTGTCAGAGCAAGTGGGACTTGGGATAAGGACCTCCCAGTGTCTCTATGGGTTTGTTGTTTGTCTTTCGTTCTTGAAGAGGACCATGACATCAGGAAGGTGTTGCCATGACATGCAAGTGAATTGGATTTAAGTGAGGCAGGGCTGGGCAAAGTCACCAGCCTCACTCTCTCCTCTGGAGCCATCTGGATCCAGTGGCAAGATATAGATCAGGATGACTGGAGGTGACCCTGGTCTATATGGCTTTACCGGGCATTGAAAGCTCCCCACAATCTCATTCCCACTACCTTTCCAGTCCCGTTTCCTATTCCTCCCCTTCACACACACACTGGCCTGTCAATTGTTCCTTGTACACAACATTCCATTTTCTTCCTGTTGCCTCTGTCCGTTACCCAGGCCTGGACTGCACTCACTCCTCCTACCTCTTAGAATCCCATTTCCTTCCAGACCCAGCTCAGATGCCACCCCCTACACGAAGCATTTTCTGACCTCCCCAGGACCCCAGGGTTTAATGTTCTCTTCCTCTTGAAACTCCTTTGTATAATTGTGCATGTACTTCAGGTTTGTTTCTCTCTAAGCAATAGAAGACCCCTTTCCTGCCTTTAAAGATCCATAATGGAACACAGAATGTCAGAGCTGGAAGAGACCTTAGAACATAGAATGTCAGAGTTAGGAGGGAACTTAGAACATAGAATGTCAGAACTGGGAGGGGTCTTAGGACACAGAATGTCAGAGCCAGAGAGGGCCCTTAGATCACGAAATGTCAGAGCTGGGAGGGACCAAAAACATAGAATATCAGAGCTAGGGATTTTAGGACAGAGAGTCTAAGAATTAGGAGGGAATTTAGAACACCTAATGTCAGAGATAGAAGGGAACTTAGAACACAGAATATCAGAGCTGGAGAGACCTTAGAACATAGAATGTCAAAACTAAGTGATTTTAGGACAGAGAGTCTAAGAACCGGGAGGGACTTTAGAATATCTAATGTCAGAGTAGAAGGACCTCAGAGGCCAGGGCAGAGCCAAGATGGCAGAGTAAAGGCAGGGACTCAACTAAACTCTCCCTCAAGCCCCTCCAAATACCTTTAAATAATGACTCTAAGCAAATTCTAGAGCAGCAGAACCTACAAAAAAATGGAGTGAAACAATTTTCCAGCCCAAGACAACTTAGGTCAGCAGGAAAGGTGTGTTGCACCAGGGTGAGAGAGGAGCACAGTCCAGTGCAGTCCAGGCCCAGGCCCCTGCAAACCAGGATCTGGCCTCAGGTGACTGAATCAGTGGCAGCAGTGGTGGTCTCCAGACCTCTTAGGCCACAGACCCACAACAGGTCAGAAGGAGATTTATAGGGATCCCTTTGCTGGGACCAGAGGCAGGACTCTGTTGGGCATTGCCTAAAATTGGACCTGGGTCCCAGTCCTGAGCAATAAGACAGCAGAGCTTGTCGCCTCAGGAGAGCAGAAACCCTGGTCACAGTTGCAGGGTTGAAAAGAGTGTTTGTGGTCCCTCACAAACCAGTGCACAGTACAGGAGAATAGCAAACACACCTCTCCCTAGATCATACCACCTTGGAAAAGCAAAAAACTTACAGGTCCCCAGAATTACCTCTGAAAACAGCTGCACAAAAAAATCTGAAGCTTGGGACAATGCCCCCTCCACCTGGGAAGCAGAGCGCCACTTTAGCAAAGAGTTAAAAGTCAAGAAAAAGGCTGGAAAATGAGCAAGCAACAGACAAAAATCTGACCACAGAAAGTTACTATGGTGACAAGGAAGATCAAAACACACACTCAGAAGAAGACAGCAAAGTCAAAATTCCTGCATCCAAAGCCTCAAAGAAAAATATAAATTGGTCTCAGGCCATGGAAGAGCTCAAAAAGGATTTTAAAAATCAAATAAGAGGGAAAGAGGAATGAGAATGATGCAAGAAAATCATGAAAAAAAGAGTCAACAGCTTAGTAAAGGAGGCACAAAAAATATTGAAGAAACTAACACCTTAAAAAACAGGATAGGTCAAATGGTAAAAGACAAAAATTCAATGAAGAAAAGAACGCCTTGAAAAGCGGAATTGGCCAAATGGGAAAAGATATACAAAAATATAATGCAAAAAAAGATATACAAGATAAGAAAGTCTTAAAAATTAAAATTAGCCAAATGAAAAAAGAGGTGCAAAAGCTCACTGAAGAAAATAATTCCTTAAAAGTTAAAATTGGGCAAGTGGAAGCTAATGACTTTATGAAACATCAAGAAACAATCAGACAAAATCAAAAGAATGAAAAAATAGAAGAAAATGTGAAGTATCTCATTGGAAAAAATAACTGACCTGGAAAATAGATCCAGGAGAGATAATTTAAGAATTATTGAACTATCTGAATGTCATGATCAAAGAAAGAGCCTAGACATCATCTTTCAAGAAATTATCAAGGAAAACTGCCCTGATATTCTAGAACCAGAGGGCAAAATAGAAATTGAAAGAATCCACTGATGACCTCCTGAAAGAGATCACAAAATGAAAATTTCCAGAACTGTCATAACCAAATTCCAGACCTCCCAGATCAAGGAGAAAATATTGCAAGCAGCCAAAAAGAAACAATTCAAATGTCATGGAGCCATAGTCAGGATAACTTCTACATTAAAAGGTTAGAGGTCTTGGAATATGACATTCCAGAGGGGAAAAGAACTAGGATTATAACCAAAGATAATCTACCCAGCAAAACTGAGTATAATCCTTCAGGGGTAAAATGGACATTCAATGAAATAGATGACTTTCAAGCATTCCTGATGAAAAGATGAGCTGAATAAGAAATCTGACTTTCAAATACAAGATGGCAAAGAAGCATAAAAAAGATAAACAGGAAAGAAAAATCACAAGAGATTCAATAAGGTTAAACTATTCACATTCCTACATGAGAAAATAATATTTATAGCTCCTAAAAACTTTCTCATTTGGGCAGTTAGAAGGAGTATGCACAGAAAGCAGAGGTGTGAGTTGAATGTGATGATATGACTATCTAAAAAAATAAAATTAAGGGATGAGAAATAAGAATGCACTGGGAGAAGGGGAAAGGGATAGAGTGGGATAAATTTTCTGACATAAAAGAGGCCTGACAGAGATTTTGCAATGGAGGGGGAAATGGGGGAAGTGGGTAGGGAAACACATGAATCTTACTCCCATCAGAATTGGCTCAAAGAGGGAATAATGGACACATTCAGTTGGGTGTAGAAATCTATAGTACCCTAAGGAAAGTAGGAAGGAAAGGGAATAAGGGCAGGGGGAGCTGATATAAGGGAGGGCAGTTTGGGGGAGGTAAAAGACGGAAGTATAACACTTTTGAGAATGGACAGGGTAAAAGGAGAGAGAAAGTAGGATAAATGGGGGAAATAGAATGAAGAGAAATACATAGCTGGTAATCATTACTGTGAAAAACAATTTTACAGTGAGTTTATCTGATAAAGACTTCATTTCTTAAACATATAGAAAACTGAGTCAAATTTATAGAAATAAAAGCCATTCCTCAATTGATAAATGATCAAAGGATATGAACAAGAAGTTTTCAGACAAAGTAATCAAAGCTATCTATAGTTATATGGGAAAAAATGCTCTAAATCACTATTGATGAGAGAATGCAAATTAAAACAACTCTAAGCTACTACCTCACACCTGTCAGATTGGCTAATATGACAGAAAAGGAAAATGACAAATGTTGGAGGAGATGTGGGAAAATTTAAACATTAATGTACTATTAATGAAGTTGTATATTGGTTTAACTTTTCTGGAGAGCAATTTGAAACTATGCCCAAAGGGCTATAAAACCATTCATACACTTTAACCAAGCAATACCATTACTGGGTCTGTATCCCAAAGAGATAAAAAACAAAAAGGAAAAAGACCTATGTATACAAAAATATTTATTGCAGCTCTTTTAGTGGTAGCAAAGAATTGGAAATTGAGGGAATGTCCATCAATTGGGGAATGATTGAATAGGTTGTGGTATATGATTGTGATGGAACACTATTGTGCTTTAAGAAACAATGAGCAGGATGCTCTCAGAAAAACATGGAAAGACTAATATGAACTGATACAAAGTGAAATGAGCAGAACCAGGAGAACATTGTACACAGTAACAGCAATATTATACGATGATCTACTATGAATAACTTAGTTATTCTCAGCAATGCAATGATCCAAGACAATTCTGTAAAATTTATGATGAAAGGTGCTGTCCATCTCCAGAGAAAGAATTGGTAGGGCATGAATGAAAATTAAAGATACTTTTTCTTCACTTTCTTTATTTTTTCTCGGTTTTTCTTTCACAGAATGAATTACATGGAAATGTGCTTTGCATGACTACACATGCATAATCTATGTCAAGTTGCTTGCCTTCTCAGTGTGGGGGGGAAGGAGAGAATTTGGAGCTTAAAATTTGGAAAAAAAAAGAATGCTAAAATTGTTTTTGCATGTAATTGGGGGGAAATTAAATAAGAAAAAAAGAAGGGACCTTAGAACACAGAATATCAGATCTGGGAGGGGTCTTAGAACACAGAATGTCAGAGCAGGGAGGGCTATTTGAGGCTGTCAGGTCTAACCCAGATAGCCCTAGATAGCTTCCAGTCATTTTCATAACACATTTCCTTCCCCACTCCCTCCACACTAGAGGCTCACAGTCAGAAAACATTAAAGCATGGCCTCTGGGAGGGATTATCGCCAGGGGTGCTATGCCCTCCAGGCCAACTCAGAAGCGCTCAGCTTGCTACACTGAAGAACCTTTAGCAGTCTGCCTCTTCCCCAGCTCCTGAAAATCAGACTGACTGGCAGAGAGGCATCCCCCAGCACCCGTGGGCTTACTTACTGCCCACTGGCTACAGCAGTGCCAGCTTCTCCAGTTTGGGGTCACCTCCCAGACATGGGGCCAGCGGGCAGCAAGGCACGTGCCCCTAGTGCCCGATGGGCTGGTCGCCATGTCTGGGGCACAATCTGTAAAGGAAAGGCCGGGGTCCCGAGTGCAGCCGCAGGTGAGTCTGGAGGCTGCTGGTGCTGCTGAAACATTTGTGGCAAACCTGGTATGGGGACGGAGGGCAAGGGTGTCACCCACTTATTGTCCCTGCTCCCTCCACTTGCCCATTCCCTGCAGCCTCTGTGCTCCCTTCTCAGATACTGCTACTCAGCTCCCTGCCTCCCAGCTCTGAGAAGCCCTCCCTCTCCTCTCTGCTCCTTTCTGTCTCTCCTTGTCAACTTGGCAATGGATTTTTCTTCCTCCAGGAGCCTTCTTTGATTAATCTGACCTATTTTTTCTACTGTATTGTTCCCCCCACCCCACCCCCAATCCTCCTTTCTAGCTTCCTGTTGGATGGGAGAGGAGGAGGATGTGTGGTCAAGAACCAGAAGGGGCCTCAGAGGCTATCTAGCCCAACCCTCTCATTTTACAGATGGGGAAACTAAGTCATAATCACAAGGAGAAGGGCAGAGGGCAGAGAATCTCACCGAGCACTGGTAAGGCCTCTCCCCTGAGTGGACCAGCTGGTGTTTCTGCAGGTGGGCAAGCTGGATGAAGCTCTTCTTACAAATAGGACATTGAAAGGGGCGTTCTCCGCTATGGACTCGGAAGTGGACCTGGGGAAGGGATGAGGACGATCTTTGAACATCCAGAGACAGATTGCTCTGGGGCACAGTCCTTCCTGGTCTCATCTTCACTAGAGGTTTTCCTAGACCCTCTACCTCCCACTCCATGTCTTTATTTTCCCAATGAAGCTCTCTATTTTCTCTCCTCTTTATGAACCCCCGATCTCTTGACGTTCCCTTTCTCTCCTGCACACCCTTCCTTCCCTCCGAACATCTCCATTCTTCCAGGACCTCTCAGCTACCCCTAAGGATCCTCTATCCTCTTTTCTTTTTAGACAGTTGAGGTGAATGATGATCAGAAAAGTTATATGACATGATCAGAGTCATACAGCTAGTTTAATTCAATACAATTAAATAACTAAATTTCAGAAACATTTATTAAGTACCTACTATGTGCAGAGCACTTGACTACATGCTGGTTAGTGGCCAAGATGGCAAGGCCAGATGATGCAGTGAAGCCAAGTAGAAAGAGCATGGGATTTGGAATTTGGAGGGCCTGTGTACAAATCCCAGCTCTGCCTCTGTTTGGACAGAGTTCGACTGTCATGGGCCTGAATTTTCTCAACTATAAAATGAGAAAATTCGACTTCCTGACCTCTAAAATCCTTTCTAGCTTGAAATCTATGAGTCTATGATCTCTAAGTTAGCTTCTAGTGACAGGAGTGCTGGTAAATGTTTAATAATTGGCTTTCCAAGAGGTAAAAAAATGTACACAAGCATTTACTCTGCATTATTAACATTTTTCTCCGTTACTCTCTTAAGTCTAGATGCTCAAGATAGCAAATCAAACCCTGATTTGTAGTATTTGCCCTTTTCCAAGGTGTAAATGCTTACACTGAAAATTTAACAATCAGCTCTTAGGAGCTAGCTCTAATCATTTATGTATTTATACCTTTGAGGACATTCTATTGCACCCATAGCACCCAGGCCCTACCAATCCCACATCTCGGGGCCTCCCCAACCAGGACTGACCTCTGTGTCTCCAGTCCTTCCATCCCATCCATATCCTTTCCATTTCATGTTCTAGTATCCACTCCCTCCAACTCTCCCTTGCTTTTCCTTTCTCCTCTTTCTCCCCCTTTTTCAGAATTTTCCTTGGTGGAGGTTGGAATCAGAGAGGAGGGGTAGGGCATGCTATATTCAGCTGGTTTGGGATGGCCAAGCCTATCCAAATGACATTGGGATCCAAGGAGGAAGAAGAGAAATTGGAATAGGGAAGGAGGTGGTGCTGAGTGCTACCTTGAGATTGGAGAGCTGCCTGAAACTCTTGGCGCAAGTATTACACTTGTACAAGTTGGCATCATTCTCTTTCTTCAGCAGATAGGGCAGGTCTGTGGTGCCCGAGGTGAGAATTCTGCCTGAGTCCAACCCTGTCGAGCAGTACTGGGAAGATGAAGGGCTCTCATCCCTGGCCTCAGCTGGGGGCCACAGCCGGTCAGGTAAGGGTGAAGAGAGGGTCGGCCAAGGCCCCAGGTGCAGAGGGGACTGAGCACCAAGTGAGTATGGTCCATCAGGGTGCATCAGCTGGCCAGCTCTGCCAGGATAGGGGGTGGCCAGGGATGGGAGAAAGAGGAGGGGGTGGTGGGGACCATAGGCGAAGGGGCACGTCTCCAGTGAGGAGGATAACGGCTTGATGGGCAAGAGAAGGGGGCAGGCAGGACACAAAGGGTGGGGCCTCAATGGGAACTTCATGTTGAGGGGGGTGGGAGCTGGGCTGGGGTGTGAAACAGGAGGGGTAGGGCTCCTTCGGACAATCCCCACAGCTGGGTCTGGAGCACCAGGTTCACTCTCTGCTTTCTTCTTGCCCAGAAGGCAGGTGGCTGTGAGTTTAGGGTCCTCAGTGGAGACCAGAATTGGCCTGTGCTCTAGGGGAAGAGGAGGCACTGAATGGGAAAGGGTAGGGGTAGACGAGAAACATGGTGGTCAGAACCAACGACTCCGCGGGGGAAGCCTTTCCCTTTGTCTGTTTCCATCCCACCACCCAAATCAGTCCCTTCCAGTGCATTAGAAGGTGCACCAGGAGGGTAGCCCTGCCTCTGCAACACACCAGCTCAGTAACCTTAGACAACTTCTTCCCAATGTTCCTCCCAGTTCTGACATTCTGACCTCTAAGATCGGGTCCAGTTTGCACATTCTTTGTCTTTTGTTCTAAATTCTATGTTCCTGCTTTGACGTTCCATGTTCTAAGACCACTGTGTTCTAAAGGCCCTCCCAGCTCAGACATTCTGTGTTGTAAGGTCCCTTCCAGCTCTGACATTCTATGTTCTAAGGTCCCTTCCAGCTCTGACATTCTGTGTTCTAAGAGCCCCCCACCCCACTTCTGAAAGTCTGTTGTAAGGGCCCTCCCAGCTCCGACATTCTTTGTTCTAAGGCCCTTCCCAGTTCTGATAGTCTGTTCTAAGATGCTCCTTCCTTACTCCCCAACCCAGAAAAAAGGAAATGGAGAGTGTAGGTCATGTCTTGAGCCAAGGAATCAGAATGACAGGGGGCAGAAGTCTCACAGGCCTCATTGTGCCCCCTTTTCCATCAATAATCCTTCATCCGCTTGATTCATCCCAGTAAGCCACCATCCGCTCTCCAGGTCCCCACTCCCCACTGAGCCTCAGTCCCCTCACTGAGCCCCTACCCCCAGATTCTTCTCAATCCTTTTAATGGTCTTCCTTGATTCTCCCACCAGGAATCATGAGAGAAATAGCAACCCTGTCCACGGCTAACATAGTCCTTACTCAGAGTCGGGCCTCCCGGGGCAGTATCCAGGGGGTTGGGCCTCAGGTTGCAGGTGTAGAGGTTCAGGGGCTGTGGGCAGGCCAGCAGGGTGGGCAAAGCAGAGACTGGTTTTGTAGCGTACATCCAGCTAGCTGTGCAATGAGAGTCGGAAGCATCTGTCCCAGAAAGGTAGTCCTTAAAAGGTCGATAAACCTGAAAGCCAAGGGGAGGGGAACACTGAGGCTGGGTGGCTTGCACATCTGGGTCCCTGGGGCATTTTCTATGGCTCTGGACAATGAATCCCAGGACCACCAAGGTCTTTCTCCTAAGTCACAGGACTTAGCTCTCAGTAGAAGCCCTTTCTTCTCCTGACACCCTCATCTTCACAAACCTCTGCTGGAGTTATTAATTCTTGATATGGAAGTGAAGGTGTGTGTGTGTTGGGAAGGCTGAGTAACAGGCAGATGGCCACACCTCAGGACCTCTCTATTCACTGAAAATCTCTGCCCTCAGGCATCACCTCTCCCCCTACCCTGCTGGACCTCTGCAATGCTATGAGAACATCTCCCCTCAAGGTCCTTCCTTCTCCCCCCAGACTCTCCATTTTTACTTTCCAGGATTATCTTCCTCACACTTTCCAAGAAACACTGTAGGACCTTGCCATGCCCAGCCTTCCATCCCTAAGCCTCCCCCAACCCTCTCTCTGTGGACCCCCTCCATCCTACCCTTCCAGCTCCAGACCTCCACTTCATTCTTAGGACTTGTCTGGATCTCTGGCTTTTCTGAGACCTCTCATCTCTCTGATAATGTCTTTCTCCCCATCAGGACCTCCTTGTTGTCTTCCAGAACTCCTTTTCCTCCCTCCCAGAATCTTCTCATCTCCCTCTAAAACCTTCCATTTCCTCCAGAACCTTTTCTCCCACTCACCCCATTCCCTAACAACCTCCTTCCCACCTCTCCAAACTTCAGAACCTTTTACCACCTAAAAGATATCCCCTCCCAAGCCCCAACCCCAGCCATAGCACAGACCCTTCTTTTGCCAGTAGCCTCATTAGCTCAGAATGGAGGGATGGAAAGAATGGAGGACCATGGACTTGAGCATTGGCTCCTTCCCATTTGAATCCATCTGCCTGGTGAGAAGGCCTCAGGCTTGCTATCTATAGGCAGCTAGGTAGCATAGTGAATATAGAGCTCTGGGCCTGGAGTCAGGAAGACCTGGATCCTACTTCAGATACGTACCAGCTGTGTTACTCTAGGCAAGTCACTTAACCTCTGTTTGCCTCAGTTTCCTCAACTATAAAATGTAGATAATAATAGTACATACCTCTTGGAGTTGTTATGAAGATCAAAAATAATATAATATTTGGAAAGTGCTTAGCAAAATGCCTTGCATATAGTGGGCACTATATAACAGTTTATTCCCTCCCTACTCAGTCAGCTCTAAGCTTTGAGGGAGGGAGACAGATGCCATAACTTGGTTTCTTGTTGTCCCCACTTCTGAACTTTTTATTGTCCTGAGTTCACTGCACCCCACCTCATTCCCCAAATCAGCCATCCTTAGAGGGAGGAGGGAATTTTTAATCTGTTTCCCTAAGAGTCAGGAAGGTCGCAGGAGAAAGCCACAGGAAGATTTAAGCCCACTGCCATCCCCATCTGCCCTGCCACGCCCTTCCTCCAAATCATTCTCATGACACACTACCATGATTGACTATATGTCTACATCAACTGGGCTACCCACTAGATATTCTGGGTCTCCTGGGGATAGGCCCAGCAGGACTGGGCAGAGAGCACCCAGGGGGGAAAGTAGGCCTAGGCCCAGGGGAAAGAGATCCTAGGAGTCCCTTTAACTCAATGCTTCTGCCAAACGCCTCTGAGGAGACAGATGCCTCTCTAGTCCCCCAAAATGCACCCTAGACGGCCTCAGCCCCACTAGACAGCCTCATCTTTTCTAATAATAATACAAGCTCACGTTTCTATAATAAGTTGAAACATGGCATAGTGTGCACAGATATGGCCTTGGCCTTGGTGCCAGAACAGATCCACCTCTGACCCATACTGTGTGGCCCTGGGTAAGTCTCTGCACCATAAGATGCAGAGAAGATGCCAACCTGCATTAGTAGAAGTAGTTTCTTCACATGGGAGTTCCCTGTACCACTGAACTCACAAATCCAGCCCCTATCCCAGCCCCACAGCTTACAAACCATAAGTCTTTAAATGCCTCAGTACAAGCATTGTACAGATGAGGAAACTGAGCCTCAGAGAAGGGATGGTGAGCAAAAGTCCCAGGGCTAAAAAGCAAGATTCAAATCCAGGTCTTGTGATTCCAGACCCAGAGTTCTTTCCACTATATCCCCTCCCCCCTTACTTCTCAGAGACACTAGCTCCTGCACCCACCCTGGGCCCAAGCTAGATGATGCAAGAGAAGGAGGGAGGACCCCAGATTTACCTGGTTACTCTGGCCCTGGTGTTTGTCCAGGCTGGGAGTAAGGGATGGGGTGGTCCCAGGATCCCCCACATCTGTATGACCTTGGCATGTCTGGCGCTGGTACAGGGCAAAGGGAATGTCTTCCTCGGGTTCTCCTTTCATTCTGACCCTTCCTGTGGAGAGACAGGTCAGTACTAGGAGGGGAGATGAGGGGAGACCCTTGTGTGTGAGCCAACAGGGAGTTATGGGCCCGTATGAGTCTGGAAGAGGGCTATCAGAGCCTGACAAAGCTCAGACACAGAGTGGACAGTCTCCCAAGGGTGCCTTGTAACCCCACTGGCCACATCTTCCATCTTCTTAGGAGGTCCTCCCCCCACCTTCCCCTTGGGTCAGGACCCACTCCACCAAATCTAGTATTTTCTGTCCCTTCCCTAGCTCCCTCTTCTGACAATATTTGTTTCCCCTACCACTTCTAGGAGAAAAACCCCTGGGTTCCAGAGAAGCCCTTCCTCATCTTCTCAGTCTTGACCCAATCCTCTCCCTCCCTTCCCCCAACACATCTCAGTTCCCGTTCAGACTGTCATCCACTTCAGACACAGAGAGGATTGGGCCCGAGGCTGGTCAACTGGAGAAGCAGAGGAACATTGGAGAGGAGCATTAAGACACAGAGATAGCGCCCACCCTTACTTGAAGAGCCAGAGGGAGAGAGAGAGATGTCCAAATGAGGTATTTATCATGGGTTTCCCTCTCTTCCCTTGGCCTCAGGGATTAGGGCTTGGATTGGAGAAGACGAGGAGTACATTGGGAACCGAATGGACAAAGATGCTCACAGCTCAGGCACCCCAGTCCCAAACCTCTTCTAGCCCTAGCTCCTATCATTCCCAGAGTTCCTTGCTTCCAAGGTCCCCATCATACACAGTCCCAGGGACCTGAACCCACTGCTTTCCTCCTCCGCCCACCTCTGACATCCTGAGCTGTACTAGGTAAGGCTGAAGTCTAGAGAAAAACTCCCAAGTCTGCATCCCAGTAGAAGAGTAGATTATATATATTTATTGGGGGTGGGGGAAGGAGGTGCTGTCTTCACTTACAGGCCCTCTGGTCCTCCCTGGCTGGACAAACTGGTTAGCGGTAGCTGCCTCTAGGTTGAGATCCCTCTATAGCTAAACAGGAAAGAACCCCAGCACTGAGCTCAGAGGCTGGCTACATTTTAAGTGGAGAGGAAGACAACAGCAGCTTCAGAGGCTCCAATGAGACTCAGAGAGAGGGATGGCATCCTGCCCCCTTCCTCTAACTTCAAAGGGGTGCCCTGTTCTAAAGTGTTTCCCAGGTTGCCATGACAACTCTACAGTGGAAACTTGCTGCTTTCTGAACGGCCAGCTTCCTGGGACCAGCAGTGTGAAGGTTTGTGGGACACTGTGGGGCCCCAGGCAACTAAGAGGGTAGGATGAGATCCAAGCAGGTGAGCTAATGAGGACAAAAGGCAGGGACAGACAGAGACTAGAAGAGGCAGAAATGGAAAGAGAAAGGGGAGGGGGGCCAGGAATAATGGAACGAGGAGACAGGAGTTGGAGCACATATCTAAAGCCAGAAGGGACCTGAATTAGAGGTCATCAATCAGTCTTAGCTTCCTCATTTAACTTATGAAGAAACTGAGGCCTTGAGATGAAAGAGGGATGACTTGTCCAAATGGGGACTGACATAAGTGGAGATAGGGACACCGTAAGGTGGGAACAAAAGGATTATGGAGACAGGAGGAGATGAGGAGAAGCAGACCTTGAAAGTGACAATGAGGGAGACAGTGTGGTATGGCAGAAATGGAACTAGAAGATTTGGCTTCCCCAAGGTTGTCAACATGGCAGACTGGGTGAGAGGCAACATGATATAATGGAAAGAAAGCACTTAATAATAATAATAATAATAACTAGCATTTATAGAGCACTTTAAATTTGGCAAAACACTTTACATAGGTTAACTCTTTGACCATCACAATGATCCTGAGTGGTAAGTACTGTTATTATCTCTATTTGACATAGAGGAAACTGAGGCACAGAGAATGGAAGTGACTTGCTCAGGGTCACACTACTAGTAAGCATCTAAGGCAGGATTTGAATTCAGATCTTTTTGATTCCAAATCCCATGTTCTATCCACTGTTCTACCTATAGCACAATGTCCAAAACAAAGAAAGCATTAGTCTCCCCTGGTTAGAGTTTGATTCAACTAAACAAACATTCATTAAATGCCTGCTGTATACAAGGTTCTCTGCTAGTATTGCATCTGGTGCTGAGTACCATATTTTAGGAAGGACATCAATAATCTTTTTTTTTCCTTTCTTTTTAGGCAGTTGGGGTTAAGTGACTTGCCCAGGGTCACACAGCTAGTAAGTGTCAAGTGTTTGGTCTGAGGCCGGATTTGAACTCAGGTCCTCCTGACTTCAGGGCCAGTGAGGACATCAATAATATTGAGAGTACCCAGAGAAGGCAACAAGGGTGGGGAAGAGCTTTTAGACCATCACCTGTGAGCAAAGTTAGAAGGAGCTGAAGGATTTGTCTTAGAGAAGGAGATTCAGGATCTAACAAATCTCTCGTGTCCCCTAAGAAGTCTTCTTCATTGTTCTTAGACGTCTGATGCTAGGTATAATTGTAAAGAGAATGCTTTTGTGGGTATGGATTGGACTAGATGGTCTTTTAAATTCTGTCATGAGATTCACAATGCCTAAAACACAACAATGCCTAAGTCACAACAGTGACTGGAGGAAGATTGTTTCGGAAGCTGCTGGGGCACGTATGATGGAGCCCTGGGCTTGGAGTCAGGACGACCTGAGTTCAAATCTTGCTACAGTTGCTTACTAACTGTATGAGCCTGGGGAAGTCTCAGCTGCAGTTCCCCCATCTGTAAAAGAGGAGGTTGAACCCAATGGCCTCCCAACTTCAGATCTGTGATCCTCAAAACACAGACCCCTAGCTACCTTCTTGTCATGCTACCCTACTGCTGCACCTTCCAAACCTGGACCTCCAGAGATGACATCACACAGCTTTAGAATACCCGATTGGTGAAAGCTAACCATAGCTAGTCACCCCGATATAAGCCCACATACCCACCAGAGGATTTAAAAGTTGAAAAGGGACTTCAAAGAGCATCTAGTCCTCCTTGCACATCACCTAGTCAACAGCATCAGTAAGTGGTCATCTGGTCTCTATTTAAGGACCTCCAGTGAGATAAAGCCCACTCTAAGCCTACTTCCACTTTTCTTTTTCTTTTTCTTTTTCTTTTTCTTTTTTTTTTGGCTAGGCAATGGGGCTAAGTGACTTACCCAAGGTCACACAGCTAGTATGTGTCTGAGGCCGGATTTGAACTCAGGCCCTCCTGAATCCAGGGCCGGAGCTCTATCCACTGCGCCACCTAGCTATCCCTTACTTCCACTTTTAATGATTCTAATTGTTAGGATTTTTTTTCCTAACAAAAAGTTAAAATCAGCCACAGCAACAGAGAACCATAGCTTTCGAACTTGAACGGACCTCAGAGGCCACACTTATCTAACCTTTTCGTTTGATAGATGAGGAAACTGAGTCCAGGGAGATGAACTAGTCCCGTGTGAAATATATCAGTCCCATGTTCAGTTTGAAGATTGCACACCCTTCATACTGCTAAATAAACACGCCAGGCAAATGTCAAGTTTTCCTTGGTGGATGACTTTCTACCAATTCACTTCAAAGGCAGGATTTGAACCCATGTCCTCTGACACCAAGTCTACAACTTTTCTCACTCTACTACTCTGGCTCACATTGTTGCTACTTCCGCCCTCAAGGGCAAAACAGAACAGGTCTGAGTCTTTGCACGGGACAGCTCTTCAAATACTTGAGGATGACTATAATGACACCCCCTCCCCCAGGTCTTCCCTCCTTCACATAGGGCCCCTCTTGCTCTGTTGGCCCAGGCTGTCTGAGAATGACTGAGTTTTGACTCTGGTGGAGAGGAAAAGGGGGAATGTGTAAGCAGAAGGGATGTGACATGAGACCAGGTCCCAAGGTCAGGAAGATTCTGGGGCCCCATGGGGATGGCAGAAGTCTCTTTGTTGGAGTTACCCATTGAGTTCTCTCACACTGTAAGTCATAAACTAGCTTCAGCAGGGACCAGTTAGGGTCTCTGAACTGAAGCCTGTGCCATTGAGGGAGAGCTATGTCCCTGAGCCCAGCTCTTGAGGCTTCATCGAAAGAGTACCCCTATTGAGGGGAAAGCTAGATGGCACAGTGGTTAGAGTACCAGGCCTGGATTCAGAAAGACCTGAGTTCAAATCTGACCTTAGACACTTGACACTTACTAGCTGTGGGACCCTGGTCAAGTCACTTCACCCCATTGCCTAGCAAAAATAAATAAATAAATAAATAAAACCCTTAATAACCTGAATTATTTTTAAAACGGTGGGGGGCACCTAGGTGGCACAGTGGATAGAGCACTGGCTCTGGAGTCAGGAGGACCTGAGTTCAAATCTGACCTTAGACACTTGACACTAGCTGTGTGACCCTGGGCAAGTCACTTAACCCCACTGCCTAGCCAAAAAAAAAAAAAACCAGACAAACAAAAAACAAAGAGTACCCCATTGAATGTGTGTTGGGCTTCAGGTGCAAATTCTATTGAATTATCTATTGTCTACTCCCAAGAAGTGTACCCATGGAGGCCAAGGAGACTGAAATATGCAGAACTACAGGGTGTGTATGGTCTGAAACTGGGAGAGGCCAAGGGGCAAAGCCCAATGGCAGATGTTTTATTGCGTAGTGTTTATTGCCTTTATGGAGTCTATGCTAAGAGTAAAGTCACTGTAGACCACTAAGCACATTTTATCTGTTCCCACAAGGAGCTGACTCCATTTTCTGAGGTTAGGACTTGATTAGGACTTGGGGAATATAGCAAGGTAAGGTTTTCCAGTAGGGTTGGGGCTTGGAACTGAATCTTGTTGGGTCTGTCCAGACTAATCCATGACCCTTTAGAAAATGAGTCTGCATAGGCCCCTAGAAAGAGATGGATTGCTAGAGAGAGTCATCTACTCTCAGAACCAAGGAGAGCTTGATGTTTGCATAGCATTTTTATTCAACAGAGGGAAGAGTCCATAATCTGCCCTATTTTTTGAGACTTATTTTCCATTACTCCCCTTAACATACTCTTCAGTCCAGCCAAAACGATCTTCTTGTGTGTGTGTGTGTGTGTGTGTGTGTGTGCGCGTGGCAATCGGGGTTAAGTGACTTGCCCAGGGTCACACAGCTAGTGCTGGGTGTCTGAGGCCAGATTTGAACTCAGGTCCTCCTGACTCCAGGGCTGGTGCTCTATCCAATGAACCACCTAGCTGCCCCCAAAATGATCTTCTTGCTGTTCCTCATGCATAATGTTCCATTTACCACCTCTGTGCCTTGGCATAGGCTGTCCCCCCACTCCTGAAATGCACTCCCTCCTCTTCCTTAGTCATTTTTTAGTCGTGTCTGACTCTTGGTGACCCTATTTAGGGTTTCCTTGGCAAAGATACTGGACTGGTTTGCCATTTCCTTTTCCAGCTCATTTTACAGATGAGGACAATGAGGCAAACAGGGTTAAGTGACTTGCCCAGGGTCGCACAGCTAGTCAGTGTCTGAGGTTGGATTTGAACTCAAGTCCTCCTGATTCCAGGCCCAAAGCTCTGTCTGCTGCACCACTACCTTTTAGAATCCCTAGTTTCCATCAAAATTCAATTCAAATACCGTCTCCTGCATGAGGCTACGCTATTGCACTGTTGATTCATACTGAGCTTGCTAGAACCCACAGAAGTTTTGCAGAAACCATTATCTACCCACATCTTCACTTATCCTGTACTGACAAAGTGAACATTTTAAGCTCAAGCAGAACTTTACACTTAGTCTTATTTTAAATTATAAGGTAGCTAAGTGACAGCATAATGCACAGAGAGTTAGGCCTAGAACTCAGGAAGACCTGAGTACAAATATGGCCTCAGACACTCCCCAGGTGTGTAACCTTAGGCAAGTCACTTAACCTCTGTCTGCCTCAGTTTTCTCAACTGTAAAGTGGGGATAGTAATAGCACCTACCTCCTGGGTCAAATGAGATAATATTTGTATAGTTCTTAGCACAGAGCTTGGCACATAGTAGGTACCATATAAATGCTAGCTCTTATTATTACCTTATTTGAGAAA